CAGGCCGTCGGCGCACGCCCCGGCCACGGTGCGGTCGCGGCAGACCTTCAGCTGGATCTGCACCTCGCACAGCTTGCATGCCGGCATCCTCTTCCACTCCTTCCCCTTGGACGGCCACCCTCAGGTTCTCCGACGAGATCCGCGTGTGACGCGCCGCGTGATGGAGACGTCGACATCAGGGGTCTCTCCCTCCCGTCCGCGTCAAGGCCGGAGGGGACTGCCGGCGGCGGACAGCAAGCGAGCGAGCGTACGATGGCCGCCCTCGCCGTCGGGATGGCTCGCTGCAGGGCATCCTCCTCATCCTGATTCTCTCCGTCGGGATGGCCTCAGAGTCCGCGCTGGTGGGCGACAGGTGAGCCACGGGCTCGCTGTCGTCGTGCGGCGCTGGGATGCATTGCGCCTCCTGCTCCCCACTCGCCGGGAGCCCCTGCTACGCCACCCTGTGCACCCCGTTCGCCGCGGCGGCCTCCAACACTGCCGGTGCGGTCAGAAACAGTCTAGATGCTTTATTATTTATTTACTAAAACAGGGAGTGCGGGTTGATATCATTTAAACCGAGGGGCCTTTTTGAAAAACTGCCACGACGACGGACGACAGAAACCCAATTCTCTTTATTATATAAATATATAATATATATATATATATATATATATATATATATTATATATATATATATATATATTATATATATATATATATTATATATTATATTATAATATATATATATATATAAAATAAAAAAATAATATATATATAATATAATATAATATAATATATAATATATATATATATATAAAAATAATATATATATATATATACAGCGAATACAGCGAATACTGCATTGCCAAATTATCTCTCAACAGGGGACAAGGAAGAAACGGACGAGGGAAGCAGAGAGAACGAACAGTTTCCGTTCCCGCTCCGTTTGCACTTTGGAAATCGAAGAAAAGAGTCGGTGTTTACTTCCAATCCGGACCCAAGAATTTGTTTTTACTTCTTTTCTTCCATAATTCCATGATCCGAAGTAGTAGTTCCCTTTTTTTAACATCACCGAAGTAGTAGTTCCTCGTGTCATCATGTGGCCAATTTGTATTCTTATGCAGTAGTCATCCAGAGGTTAACGGGAAGCTCTCTTTCTCTTCCTCGGCTCGGTTTCTGTTTCTTTCTTTCCTCCTACTCCAAGGCTGCGACGGCCCCGGCTTCCTTCTCAAGACAGACGGCGGCTCATGACCGACCCCATATAAGTAGGCACGACCCCACGACCTCCTGGCCACCATAGCAACACAGGCAGCGACAACTTCTTCACGCACGCAAGTTTTCGATCAACCGATCTCAGTTTTCGGGACCTGATGGAGAACAAGGGAGCGGCAGCGACGGTGCCGGAGAAGGAGGCGGCGCAGGCGCCAGCGTCGTCGTACTTCAAGAGGACGGTGGAGCTGGCCAAAGACCAGTACCGGCAGCTCGAGGCGCCGGCGAAGGAGCACTGGGCGAGCATGAAGAACAAGGTCAGCTCCGTGCTCGGCGAGCCCTTCTTCGGCGGATCCAAGGGTGACTCCAGCAGCAGCACGCCGCCGTCCGCCGAGTCGCGGTAGATCATCATCGTCATCTAGATAGCCTAAAATACATTATATCGTTCCATATTACCATACATATGAGGCATCAGTAATTTAGTTGGGTCTTGTTTCTCTCTGAGCACTTACAAATCTCGGCATTATCAGTCTGCAGATGTCTTTTTTTTAGTTTAGAGTTGTGAATCTACGCTCTAAACTTTTGAATACTACTCCTTTGCAACAACAATACAACGAGTAAAGTGGAAATTAAATCAAACGAGCGATGCTATCTTATGTATTAGTTCAATCTTGGGACGGTTGTTACCCGTTTTGCTCAGGTAGTTATCCTGCCTCATGGTAAGGGGAACAGGATTTCTGAAATCAAAATTCTACAAAAGGCGCCGGGGGACAGGCACAAAGTCAGATCGGTCAAACTCAGCACCGTAGGATTGTTTTCACTTGGGCCGTTCGATCATTATCCTCAAGTGTGTGATGGTACGCACAGGAAAAAAACTGGCTTTCGTTACCATGCGGCTCCACCCGTCGTGTGCAGCGTGCGTCCCCTCCTAGACACCTCGCTGTCACACTCACAGTTATTGCCCCCGTTGCAGCCATGGCAGCGCCAACCGTCACCGATGGCAACACCGTGCCTTCTCATCTGTGCCAACACTCGCGACCCCGGCTTTCCATGCCTTCAGCAAAAAACGATGCCAGCTTCGCAAGTGCCGGTCTCTGCCTCCGCTCTCTTTTTTTCTTTAAAAAAAAAGAAGAAAAGCCCACGGCCTTTGAATTAGAATGATGCATGCAGCTAATTTATTAACCAAAAATACACATACAAATTTAAAGGTCCCGTGGTTGCAGCTCCACGACATGCATGTCGTAGCCGGTCACAGTCTAGCATGCTAGCGTCTCGCAGCTTCCCCGGCCGCAACCTTCTGAGCACCCCCGACCATCACCGTTGCAGCGCATGGTACCCGTCCATGTAGCACCTCGGGAGCCTTTGCAGTTTGTGTGCGGGAGATGAGGGTGCGCGGGGGACGATAAGCATGCGAATTTGAGAGGGAGAGGGTGTCGCCTTCTTCTCCGCCCCATGGTGGCTCACCCTAGCAGCATGCATCAGCTATCGGTTGTTGGCTGCTGCAGCAGCGCCGCCCCTACACCCAACAGGTCGAAGTGTTGAGGGAAGATATGGTGACTTTGGTGAGGTGCCACAGAGATGGGCGAGTGTAAATTGCAAAAAAACACCGCAATTCGAGGCCTTAATTCACAAAACTGCCACCATTTGGTTTCTTTTAAAAAAACGCCAACATTGGGGTGACAGTTTTCAAAAAAATGTTGATGCAGTGATTTACGGCGTTTGGGTGGATTTCTGATCGGTGGGGCCCGTTGTCAGGCGCCACGTGGTCGAGGCGAGACGGCGCCCGTGACATGCCGTTAGACGACTTCGGTCAAAATCTAGGCATGCCGAACCCTAGCACCAACTTCCTCCAAAGCACGTCTCGCCCGACTACCCGCATGGTGTAGAAGGATGGTGGCGGTTTTGTGAATTACGATCCCCAATTATGATGGTCTTTTGCAATTTACTCGATGGAGGAGAAAAACGCTTGCAATGACAACATCATGGGCTAGATGGAGAAGGATTCGTTGCGAGAGGATAAGGATATGTGGGGAGTGCACGATCTCGTACATCGTGCGACGGGCGCACGCCGAGAGCGGTCGCCCGTTCTTCATCATTTCCCTTTACTAAATCAAAATTATGATTCTTAAGGCATTGATTTTGGATTAATTTTTCTTATTGGCGAGTAAAGAAATTAGAAGAATTATGAAAATGAGTAAAAACGGAAGATTTTTTTTTGCGGGGAACGGAAGATAAAAATCAGTTGCTAAATGAATCACAATTTGTTGAATATTATTTATGAGAGCGAAAACGACATACGGACCGGCACAAAACAACGATAGTTAGAGGATAAGAAGATTCAGGGGGAATAGCAAGATCATAACATAGACCAAGCAGCTGCTCAAAGGCAGCAACAGATGTTCTCACAAATGGCAGATAAAGAGTTTCAGACACATGAGTACATGACAGACTTCACATAACCAATGAGAAGACGAGAGAAGGCCACCAAGCCTGGAGCCCCGAAAACTACAGCCTGCATGTGTAATATTCACTCCTATACTATGCAACTGGAGTCAAAACAAGAGCAAGCATTCAAACAAATAATCGATTCTGACCAACAGTCATCGCATATGACATAAATACAAGAAATTTTAGTGCATCACTTGTTCATATTCGATTGATTGGAACCGGGGCGACCCATCTATATTCGACTGTGTTACGAACTGAACATCTATGATGAGGAGAAAGGGTCATAGAACCTGGGTATGACAATTCAGCTTATCAAGAAATAAGAAGGTTCAGGTTCACATATTTCATAACAAACTGCTAAAAGGCAGGATTGCAGAGTTTGAGTGAAAACACGACATAATGAACTCTGGCATAACAAGAGACGATGGAGAAGCTGACAGATTTGCAAATCAAACTACCAAAGCACAAAGAACTCACTGCCACCACGAAGGCGTAGCACCAGGTGGAGAGTAGACTCCTTCTGAATGTTGTAATCTGCCAGAGTGCGACCATCCTCGAGCTGCTTACCAACGAAGATCAGGCGCTGCTTGTTAGACAAACTAGGGTTTGGAACAATGCTCGATGCCTTTGGTGGGCACGGCTGTCATATATTTATAAGAGGTAACCGTACAAATACCGGTTATGTTACAACATGTATATCTACTATATACTTAGTCTAACACCCTCCCTCAATCTTAACTATGTCCTAAAACACTCAGAATGTTAAGATTGCGTCAACATCCTTCAAAAGAAGGCAAGGGCAAGGGTTTAGTGAAAATGTCAGCAAGCTGATCCTTAGAAGGAACAAACTTGATCTGAAGAAGCTTCTGAGCAACACGTTCCCTCACAAAGTGATAGTCAACTTCAATGTGCTTCGTTCGGGCATGAAACACTGGATTGGATGAAAGATATGTAGCACCGATGTTATCACACCAAAGGACAGGTGGCTGAGTGGGAGAGACCTTCAACTCCCGAAGCAACGACTGCACCCACATGATCTCAGTTGTGGCATTAGCAACCGCCTTGTACTCAGCTTCGGTACTACTCCGAGATACCGTAGCTTGCCAGGCGATCAAGTTAGGTCCAAAGAACACAGCATGTCCCTCCGTGGATCGCCTGTCATCAGGACTACCAGCCCAGTCGGCATCAGAAAATGCAGAGATCAGTCCAGAAGGCGCCGACTGAAGATGAAGACCATAAGAACCAGTGTGACGAACATAGCGTAAGATGCGCTTAACAGCTGACCAGTGAGAATCACGCGGCGCATGAAGATACTGGCACACTCGGTTTACTGCAAACGATATGTCTGGTCGAGTGATAAGCAAGTACTGCAACCCACCAACAATGCTGCGGTACTCAGTGGCATCCTCAGGAGAGAGCAAGTCACCAGCAAGAGCGGTCAGTTTGTCTCTGACAGACATGGGAGTCATAGCAGGCTTGCACTGCAACATACCTGCACGACGTAGGAGGTCCTGGGAGTACTTCTTCTGAGTAAGGTTCAAACCACCATCAGAAGGATGAACTTCCAGACCCAGAAAATAAGGCAGTCTGCCAAGATCCTTAACAGCAAAGTCAGCACCAAGAGAGGACACAAGCCGATCCGTAGCAGCAGCGGACGAACTAACAAGGATGATGTCATCAACATAGACCAGAATATACATAGTCACCTCCGGTCGCTGAAAGATAAACAAAGACGTGTCTGCTGCAGAAGGCACAAACCCATGAGCACGAAGAGCAGTGCCAAGACGTGTATGCCATGCACGAGGGGCCTGTTTCAGTCCATATAGGGCTTTGTCAAGACGACACAAATGATGTGGCTGAGCAGGATCAACAAAACCAGGTGGCTGACACATATAAACCTCTTCCTCCAGAACTCCATGGAGGAAAGCATTTTGAACGTCAAGTTGTCGAAGTGACCATCCTCGAGTAACAGCCAAGGAAAGAAGAACACGAATAGTGGTTGGTTTAATAACAGGACTGAATGTGTCTGCATAATCAATGCCATACCGTTGTTTGAAACCCTTGGCAACCAGACGTGCCTTGTATCTCTCAATGGAACCATCAGCATGTTTCTTCACCTTGAAGACCCATTTAGAGTCAATGACATTGACACCAGATGGATGTGGAACCAAGCGCCAAGTGTTGTTTCGTTGAAGTGCATGAATCTCCTCCTCCATTGCAGCACGCCAGTGTGGAATACCAAGTGCTGCCTGAAAATGTCGTGGTTCAGTCATAGGGTCAGCCTCAGTATGCGCCATACAGGCCGCAAGACACGCAACAGTGCCATCAGTGCGCTTCTTTGGTTGGAAGATGCCACTCTTGCTGCGAGTATGAGGACGCAGGACGACAGGCGGAGGTGGCGGTGGAGCAGGCACCACAGAGGAACCACTGTCCATCAGCGGCGAAGAAGATGCGCCTGGGGTGGTCGGCGAAGACAAGCCGGAAGATGACGACCCAGGCGATGCAACACTTGGCGAGGCTGTCTGCCCAGGCTACAGCGCCGCAGGTGCTGCTGCCCCATGGGGCAGCGCCGCGGGATCGGCCAGCCCAGGCGGCAATGCTGCGGGGGCAGCCGGCCCAGGCAGCAGCGAGGCCACGTCCCCAGGTGACCCAGGTGTTGGGGAACGTAGCAGAAATTCAAAATTTTCCTACGTGTCACCAAGATCTATCTATGGAGAAACTAGCAACGAGGGGAAAGAGAGTGCATCTACATACCCTTGTAGATCGCTAAGCGGAAGCGTTCAAGAGAACGGGGTTGAAGGAGTCATACTCGTCATGATCCAAATCACCGGAGATCCTAGTGCCGAACGGACGGCACCTCCGCGTTCAACACACGTACAGCCCGGTGACGTCTCCCACGCCTTGATCCAGCAAGGAGAGAGGGAGAGGTTGAGGAAGAATCCATCCAGCAGCAGCAGAACGGCGTGGTGGTGGTGGAGGAGCGTGGCAATCCAGCAGGGCTTCGCCAAGCACCACGGGAGAGGAGGAGGAGGAGAGGTAGGGCTGCACTAAGAGGAGAAGTTCTCATGTCTATAGCAGCCCCAAACCTCAAGTATATATAGGGGAGGGAGAGGGCTGCGCCCCCATCTAGGGTTTCCCCCCCCCCCCAAGGGGTGCGGCCAGCCCTAGATGGGGCTTGGGGAGGCGGCCAAGAGGGGGAGAGAGGGGAGGCGCGCCTGGGGTGGGCCTTAGGGCCCATCTGCCCTAGGGTTTGCCCCCTCCCACTCTCCCTTGCGCCTTGGGTCCCTTGTGGGGGGTGCACCAGCCCACCTAGGGGCTGGTCCCCTCCCACACTTGGCCCACGCAGCCTTCTGGGGCAGGTGGCCCCACTTGGTGGACCCCCGGGACCCTCCCGGTGGTCCCGGTACATTACCGATATCGCCCGAAACTTTTCCGGTAACCAAAACAGGACTTCCCATATATAAATCTTTACCTCCGGACCATTCCGGAACTCCTCGTGACGTCCGGGATCTCATCCAGGACTCCGAACAAATTCGGTAATCACATACAAGCTTCCTTTATAACCCTAGCGTCACCGAACCTTAAGTGTGTAGACCCTACGGGTTCGGGAGACATGCAGACATGACCGAGACGTTCTCCGGTCAATAACCAACAGCGGGATCTGGATACCCATGTTGGCTCCCACATGTTCCACGATGATCTCATCGGATGAACCACGATGTCAAGGACTCAATCGATCCCGTATACAATTCCCTTTGTCTAGCGGTATTATACTTGCCCGAGATTCGATCGTCGGTATACCGATACCTTGTTCAATCTCGTTACCGGCAAGTCTCTTTACTCGTTCCGTAACACATCATCCTGTGATCAACCCTTTGGTCACATTGTGCACATTATGATGATGTCCTACCGAGTGGGCCCAGAGATACCTCTCCGTTTACACGGAGTGACAAATCCCAGTCTCGATTCGTGCCAACCCAACAGACACTTTCGAAGATACCTGTAATGCACCTTTATAGCCACCCAGTTACGTTGTGACGTTTGGTACACCCAAAGCATTCCTACGGTATCCGGGAGTTGCACAATCCCATGGTCTAAGGAAAAGATACTTGACATTAGAAAAGCTTTAGCTTACGAACTACACGATCTTTGTGCTAGGCTTAGGATTGGGTCTTGTCCATCACATCATTCTCCTAATGATGTGATCCCGTTATCAACGACATCCAATGTCCATAGCCAGGAAACCATGACTATCTGTTGATCACAACGAGCTAGTCAACTAGAGGCTCACTAGGAACATATTGTGGTCTATGTATTCACACGTGTATTACGATTTCCGGACAATACAGTTATAGCATGAATAAAATACTATTATCATGAACAAAGAAATATAATAATAACACTTTTATTATTGCCTCTAGGGCATATTTCCAACAGTCTCCCACTTGCACTAGAGTCAATAATCTAGTTCACATCACCATGTGATTAACACTGACAGGTCACATCACCATGTGACCAACGTCCAAAGAGTTTACTAGTGTCATTAAACTAGTTCACATCATCATGTGATTAAGACTCAATGAGTTCTGGGGTTTGATCATGTTTTGCTTGCAAGAGAGGTTTTAGTCAACGGGTCTGAACCTTTCAGATCCGTGTGTGCTTTACAAATCTTTATGTCATCTCCTAGATGCAGCTACCACGCTCTATTTGGAGCTATTCCAAATAACTGTTCTACTTGGAGCTATTCTAAATTGTTGCTCCATTATACGTATCTGGTATCTCTACTCCGAGCTATCCGGATAGGTGCTAAGCTTGCATCGTCGTAACTCTTTACGTCGAACTCTTTATCACCTCCATAACCGAGAAAATTCCTTAGTCCACTAGTTACTAAGGATAATTTTGACCGCTGTACTATGATCCATTCTTGGATCACTCTTGTACCCCTTGACTGACTCATGGCAAGGCACACTTCAGGTGCGGTACACAGCATAGCATACTGTAGAGCCTATGTCTTAAGCATAGGGGATGACCTTCGTCCTTTCTCTCTATTCTGCCGTGGTCGAGCTTTAAGTCTTAACTTCATACCTTACAACTCAGGCAAGAACTCCTTCTTTGACTGATCCATCTTGAACACCTTCAAGATCATGTCAAGGTATGTGCTCATTTGAAAGTACCATTAAGCGTTTTGATCCATCCTCATAGATCTTGATGCTCAATGTTCAAGTAGCTTAATCCAGGTTTTCCCTTGAAAAACACTTTTCAAACAACCCTATATGCTTTCTAGAAATTCTACATCATTTCTGATCAACAACATGTCAATATATACTCATCAGAAATTCTATAGTGCTCCCACTCACTTCTTTGGAAATACAAGTTTCTCATAAACTTTGTATAAACCCAAAATCTTTGATCATCTTATCAAAGTGCACATTCCAACTCCGAGATGCTTACTCCAGTCCATGGAAGGATCGCTAGAGCTAGCATACCTTTTAGCATCCTTAGGATCGACAAACCTTTTTGATTGTATTACATACAACCTTTCCTTACGAAAAC